CTCATCTTTCCCATAACTTTCTGATAACATCAAAACCAATGGCAAGATCTTCTCCTCGTAATGACGATCCAAGTAGTTTGTGGGAAATATTTAGTTCAGGGAAGAATTGGAAGGTTGCTGGTTTACTAATGAGTTTTGTGGAAAAGTATTTAATATTGGCTGCTTGAAAAATCTTTTGGTAGGGTTTTCGCATATTTTCTGTGAGTACGGTTTGGTTAAGAATTAAAGATGTCGCTCCTGTATCAAGTAACACTTCAACGGTAAGGGGTTTTTCACACTTTCCCGAAAAAGCTTAATTTCAATTATTGGTTTCTTTTGCATGAACCGATTTTCCACAAAACTCCTAGTGTAGATTATAAAAGAAGTTGTCAAGGTCCTGGGTATTTGCCAATTGTTGTTGTCTATTCCTCCAAGGAATATGAACCATTCTTTCAAGAGACCAATAAGTTGGCCAAAACTCCTCTAATGACCATATTATGCGTCATATCAGGTTTTGTCAGTTCTGCAATACCCCATGCCAACATTTCTTGCAACCTCGATCTCCATTGAGAAGGTGGTATTCATCAACGGTGAACTTGACAGATAAATTACTATGTTGGCAATAGTAATTATTTGTAACTGTCTACCCTTCTTCTATGTTAGGAAAATCTTCATCTTCATGTTGTCTAGAGTATGTGCTACTAGACGATTCTTCAATTTTTGGACCCCTTTGTGTTTTGTCAACCATATATACATGATTGTAATCTTCGTCGAAAGAAGATTCATAAAACTCAGAGCTAGTGTCATTATTTATGAAAATGGGTGAAGGCTAGGGTGTGGTTGGGTTTTGGATTTTACATTTTTTAAGTAATGTAGAAATGGGGTTTTTTTTATCATCATTTGTAATGGTTTTTGGGAAAAGTTGTTCGTGGATTCTGATAGTTTCTGTGGTTGTCTCCTTGTGACTTTAGGTAGTCTTGATATTCTTTCATATTCTTCGAAGTTGAACAAATAGGCAGTTCCATAGCTGGTGTTTTTCTGAGGTGACTTGGTTTTGCGTTGAGTATTGTAATAATGAGGAGGAAGGCCAGTTTATGTTAGAAGGAAAAAAGGCTTGGGATTCCATATCGGTCAATTGATTTTTTAACTGCATGATTTCATTTTCTTGGTCATTAAATGGAAGTTGTTTAGTTAAAACGGTCATGATTTTATTGTGAACCATCTCTATTCTTTGTTTACAGGCTTCAATGGGGTTGATATAGCAGCTTGTTGCTTAAGAGTCCTTTCAATCCTTTGCTGACTTTCATCAATCCTTTTAAGGAGTGAATTATGTCTTGAAAAAAAAAACTCTCATTTGGTTTCGTTATAAAAAAATCATTGGTTCATAATTCGCTTCGATTCTTGGGAATAGAACCAAAGTAGCAGTGATAAGGTACATTAATTAGCTTAAGAATTTTTTATTGTTGAATACTTTCTTTTTATAATTAATCAAACTCTATATTCTTTAAGATTCGATCTGAACAATTTAAACAATATAAAGAGATATTTGAATTTTTGAGCGTACAACTTTCTTCAATCTGTTGAAGCATTGTACGAATCTTGAGAACTATATGGAACATAATGGACATTCGAATATTAATGGAGATGATTTATGTTCTGAGTTACATGTCTTGAGTTGCTATATATCAAGTAAAGCAACAAAAGCAATTGAAGTGCTACAATTTTTTAAGACATCCTAAATGCCTATATTATTTCAAAATTTTGTTAATCATAACTTATTTTTGATCAAATATATCACAAAAAATATTAAATGGATTGACTATGTTATCAATTGAGAAAGAAAATGGTTGAACAGGTAGATTATTCAAATTTGATTAATATTTTTGCATCTAAAATTGCAAGACGATTAGCATTTAATCGATCGTTTGGAATATTATTGACTTTGTTATTTGATTATAATATAAATCTTTTGTACAATAAATTTTACTTGTTGTTTTATTGTAAAGTTTTAAATTAGCTAGTTAGCTATTGACTCCATAATACACTTATAAATTTTACATATATACTACAATTTTGAAGCCTAATTTATGAAATTCGTCTCAGGTCCCAAAAATCAGAGAACCGGCACTGCCACAGTTGAGAAATTCATAGATATCATTATGAATATATACATATACAGTCATTTATGGCTTGGGATTCCATATCGGTCAATTGATTTTTTAACTGCATGATTTCATTTTCTTGGTCATTAAATGGAAGTTGTTTAGTTAAAACGGTCATGATTTTATTGTGAACCATCTCTATTCTTTGTTTACAGGCTTCAATGGGGTTGATATAGCAGCTTGTTGCTTAAGAGTCCTTTCAATCCTTTGCTGACTTTCATCAATCCTTTTAAGGAGTGAATTATGTCTTATGACATTTTCGGATTGCCAGTTCAGTACTGCCTCTACTGGAGAAATTTTATCAACTAATTCATCAGCTTTTCTAGTATTTGGATTTTTAACTTTTCACATGTGATCTAACCGATCCTTCTCAAAATTTTCCATAGGAGTGAGATTTGTTGGAGGATGTAACATAATTGCAGATGCTACAGATGCATTTAATGGCTCTAAGTCCTCATTATGATCCTTCCAATCCCTTTTTTTACACTTTCGACAATAATTGTCATCATTATCATAATCCCATCTAGATGGAATGATTGGTCCATCTGTTCTAGATGGAGAAGGAAATTTGACATAATAATAAAATTTATTGGAGAATTCTCCAAGCAACCTTGCAAACGGTTCCTTATTTTCAAATGCCCTCTAAAGTCTTTATGGAGTCTTCCATGATCCTTTTTCTCCTAGGAAGAGTAGGCTCATCATTAAATTCAGTGTTCAAACAACTACTACAAGAACATAAATCCTAAAAATTATGGCCAGAATCATCAGTTCTAGCATGTATAAGCTTTCCATTTGAATCAAAGGCATAAATAGGGTATTTTATGTGAATGCAAATTGAGTTGGAAAGCACTATGGTCATTTTGAAGTTTGGTCCTTCTTAAATTAGATCTCAACATATCCATCAGATTTCTTTTTGAAATACTGTTGGGTAAATTGTATGGAGGCACATTCTTTGGTTGATTTATGGGATTGTTCATAGCTTGTAATCCAAGACTCGGGAATAAGTTTAGGAAGTTCAACTCGAGGGATTTGTCTTGGAACATAGGTATAACTAGGAACATGTTCGGTGTCTATTTGAAGAAGTAGAGCATCTCTTGTCTCTTGAGGGATAGCAAAACCTAAGAAATGATTTTGGATTTTGTAAACCATCTGGTAATGAAGAGTCGCATCATATGTGACTGAAGATGGTACAGCTCCAACTATATGGAACTGGACTTTTATGAGAAAAAGGAATCGTAGATCTGAAGTAGGCATGTTGAAGTTTGGAAACATGGTTACAAGGACATCTCCTGCATTGCTAATTGACCCCAAAACTAGACCTAGTAATAATATCTACTTCTAGTCATTATTATTCTTATTATTTTTCTCCTAAATAATTTCTTTTAGATGACGAGCATTTTCACCAATTCACTTTGGTTTTAAAAATGTTAAAAAATTTCCTTTTGAGCCCTAATTTTTCAAACTTCATAATTAAACCACATAATATAATATTCACGAAATTCCATGGTATTGCATAGGGGCAGACAAAATGATCAAACCAAATCAAATCCAAACCAAACCATGCAATTCGGTTTGGTTATACAAAAAATAATTAATGGTTCTGATTCTTAAAACTGAAAACTATTTGGTTCTAGTTCTAAAACTAGGAGCCAAACTCAATTTTAAAATTTTATTATTTTAATGTACGTACATTTGACAAATTAGTATTTCAAAATTCACACCAAAAAACTCAAAATTCAATTGAAAATCGGGACAAATAGGTCATGTTACCTTCGATTTCATATTTTTCATTGTGGAAACTAGAGACCCTAATTCATTTTGGAGACTCAAATCCTAATTCATTCCTCATTTTATCTCCTTTTCAATTTATTCATCGACTTTCACATAGATACCAACTGTCCTCTATTGTCTACCATTGCGCTCAACCCACCACCACCTATGAATTTCTGAAATTGAAGCATCAAACTTCTATTTTTCTTCCTCAAATGTTCTTTCACTTTTTTTTTCCTCAATCAATGATGTAACTAGAACTAAACCAAACCAAACCAGAATCAAATGGTTCGGTTCCGAATTGGTTCCATATCTTAAAAAAAAAAAAAAAAAAAAAAAAAACCAAAAAAAAAAAAAAAAAACTCTCATTTGGTTTCGTTATAAAAAAATCATTGGTTCATAATTCGCTTCGATTCTTGGGAATAGAACCAAAGTAGCAGTGATAAGGTACATTAATTAGCTTAAGAATTTTTTATTGTTGAATACTTTCTTTTTATAATTAATCAAACTCTATATTCTTTAAGATTCGATCTGAACAATTTAAACAATATAAAGAGATATTTGAATTTTTGAGCGTACAACTTTCTTCAATCTGTTGAAGCATTGTACGAATCTTGAGAACTATATGGAACATAATGGACATTCGAATATTAATGGAGATGATTTATGTTCTGAGTTACATGTCTTGAGTTGCTATATATCAAGTAAAGCAACAAAAGCAATTGAAGTGCTACAATTTTTTAAGACATCCTAAATGCCTATATTATTTCAAAATTTTGTTAATCATAACTTATTTTTGATCAAATATATCACAAAAAATATTAAATGGATTGACTATGTTATCAATTGAGAAAGAAAATGGTTGAACAAAAAATCAGAGAACCGGCACTGCCACAGTTGAGAAATTCATAGATATCATTATGAATATATACATATACAGTCATTTATGGAGGTGACCCGCAGTTTTGACAACTTATTGGTCTTACGGTTGGTAGATTTGTACTAAATTATGTGCAACGCCAGCCACTTTATCCCCAGCAACAAGTAAACTACCAGTGGACCAATGGTAGTTTGATTTCATTTAAGCTTATATTAAAATACTACCAAGTCATGTGGAAACTTGCATACTATGATTTAAGAAATATTAGATGTCCCAGATAACCAAATCCTGTTTAAACTTTGACAATATTCAACCAAGTTGGTGTATCAACACTGCCAACTTAGCAAAATCTTGTATCACTTTCCATTCTTATCTTCAAGGTCTTATAAATAGCTTGCTAGGATCATCATTTGCATTCCAACACAGCCTAAATGGCAATTTATAATGGATCTTCTGGTTCCAAATTGCTCGTAGATGCTGTGCAAAGTGTGGTGCCAATGAAGCCAACAGAGCCAAGAGCTTCCACTCAAGTTGAAGTTTCAGGGACTCATAGTTCCACCTTTTTTGGAAGGTGCTTTCACATTGTTATGTGCTATAACAAGGCGTCGGACGAGGATTCTGGGTGGGTTGCCGCAGGTTGGATAAAAGAATCACTTAGTATAGCACTATCGGAACAGCCATTGCTTGCTGGAAGATTAAGGCGACACGATGACAAGGGTGATGAAGATCTACATATTGTTTCAAATGATTCGGGTGCTAGATTGATTGAGGCCAGAATTGATATGAATTTGGCAGATTTTCTTGATTTGAAGGCAAAGAAAGATGAAGAAACTAAACTTGTCTTTTGGGAGGATATTCTAGACCAGAACCCTGGCTTCTTTCCGTTATTTTATGTCCAGGTAAGTGGTAAAATTTCCCATAGTTTATATATATGGAAAAAAAACAAAATATAATTTTTTTTTTTTTTTTTTTTTTTTCAGGTTACTAACTTCAAGTGCGGTGGATACTCGATCGGGATAAGTAGCAGTCTACTACTTGCGGATCCGTTTGTCATGACTAGTTTCCTCAAGAAATGGGCTAATGTTCACAAGAGTTTAGTCTTAAAAGCTGACGTGCCAAAAATGCCCACATTTTACCTTCCTAATCTCCGAAATTCAGCTGGAAAAACTCCCTCTCTGCTAATGGACTCAAAAACAAACAAATGTGTTGCACAGAGTGTGATTTTCAACATTCCAACAAAGATTTCAAATTTGGGCAGCGACAATTATCATAATCTTGCTGCAGAATGTATCCTTGAGGCCGAGCACATTGTTGGTACAAAAATGGCCTCAAATTTCTCACTATATGTTAAGAAACCAGACGAGGATGTTCGGGTAGAAATTTGTCCTAAAGAAAAGCTGATTCGGAAGCCAACCAGTATCGTGAACGGATTTACTTATGCAAGTTCATGGGATGTTTTAGGGGCTGATGAAATATGCTTCAATGAAGGAAACAAGGCTGCGTACGTATCTTGCTGGATCAACTCAATATTTGACGAAGGTTCTGTGATGATTGTTGGAACTGATAATGAGTACACTTCAGGAACCAAGATTATTGTCACATTCACTGCTGAGTAATATATTCCTTCGTCATATCTCAATTTAGTGTCTCTATTTTTTATTTTTATTTTTTTTTCAGTTATCGTGATGATTAGATTTTCAGACCATTATGTGGAAGAATTGGAACATTTATTATACATTTCTATATACAACGAGTAAAATTATAATATGATCAAACCTCGATGTCTTGATAGTTTAAGCTTGTAAATATTGAGAACATATAGTCATATGCTAGATTTTATAACTATTTTTTAACATGCGAATGTTCACTTAAACATTTTTGAAACACTTATTGACTACATGAGTGAAGAAAATGTGAATAATGAATATTTTTTAAGCTCAACTTAGGTCATGGACGTCGAATGAAAATATCCATTAGATTAATCAACCGCATTTAGACAAAAGTTCTAATGATTCGGATTGGCTTGGACATTGTATCTTGAAACTGAAATGTCTATTGGATTACATAAATAGTGTTAGTAAAATTAGTGCACAGTTTATATTCCAACTTAGACACATGCATACAAGATGGTCAAATGTTTAATATAAATGTAGTAAAAAGAAGAACTATATTCACTCGAGGTAAGAATTGAATTCTCTCCTTAAGACATTATTTTACATGCGTCGGTGCTTACAAATTGTCGAAACATGACACCCAAGATACAAGGACCACTTGCCAAGATGGCAACACAAAAATATTTGCTCAAAATCAATTTCAGGTGAATAAAAAATTTAAGGCCAAAAGTGAGCTGATTAAAACATAGAAATTGATGGAAACTAGAATTAGAATGTATAGTGTAATACTCTAGAATCTCTGACTGAAATGTAATGTATTTTTTGAAGAAAAATCGTGAGTGTTCGACTTATCCTTTTCGAAAAAGCGTGTCTTCACATAGAGACGAATTTCAATAATTCTATCATTGTCTAAAAATAAATTTTTTTTTCCTTTTTTTCTTTTTTTTAAAACACAACTTTTAAACTTCTGTTTAATTGGTCCCCACCTTCATAATAATCTTCATTCTATTGTTCCCTCCAATATCAAAATTTTCCATTTTCAATCCAAAATTTCATCATTAATAGAATTCGCATCAGTTTCATAAAAGAAAGTGCAAAATAATCATCAGTTCACTACTGAGTTCCACATTCCGAAATTCGCATCAGCTTGTGTTCTTTTAAACTTTCTCCTTGATTAAGCCTAAGTTTCATTCAAAAATGTGAGAGATTTCTAAAATTTCGGAATATGGAACTCAGTAGTGACACAGAATACTTGGTACCTTTATCCCATAAATGTCCACCTACTTGTATAGCTTGATCCGACAATATTGAAGTAAATATAATGAAACTACATCATTGTTTGGTGTTTTCATCGAAAAAGGGCCATTGAAAGGTTTTTAAGAAAAAAATATTCGGTATTTTTGTCACCAAAATGAAATTTTTTGTAATAGATAGAATTTGCGTTGAACCTAATCTGTTTAAAAAAGAAAAAAAAAAGAAAAAAGAAATTCAAACAATAAAAAGAGTGACAAAATTTTCGGCCAAATACATAGTTACATCTACGTAAAATTTGAAGAAACTCGAGGTGATATGATATATCCTTTATTGACAATTCCACACAATATTATTATTTCTATTAGTTCTGTGAAAATGAGACGTTGGATATATTTCACTTTCGCAAATGAAGTTAAAAATCTACTTAATCGAACTAGTCAAATTATGTCGTAAAGGAGTCATGTGTTGAATTTGCCTAACAAATGATAACCGCATTCTATATCTTAATAAAATGGAGTTACAAAAAATGAGGGGAAAAACCTTTAAAAGAAATAGACAATATTATTGACCCTGGACAAAAACATGAATAATATTTGAAATGATAATGTTATTATTCAAATTGAATGTAGGGTTTTCAAACATATTAAAAACGTCAAAACAAAACCTTAATTCGGTAGACAAATCCAAATAGAACCAGAAAACCTACAAAATTGACGAAAATACCCTTAGACTAGCTCAGAGTAGAAAAATTCTAAAACGGACTTGAGAGAATTTGACCGTGGCAAAACTGTAGAGCACTGAAAAATGCATTCGAATCGTATTTGCTTACATAACTCTAGTTGAAAGTTACGAACATTTTTGTAGTTTCTTATTTTTCCCTTTTCCAATTAATTTATGATTATCTTCTAATTGTTCCGCACCTGTTATACGTATAAATTACAGATTACTAACTCTCAGTATGAAATTTAAAGGAATTTGATCAGTACCTTGTGGTTTGTGGATGGCAAATTGGTTTATAATGAATGAACACAAGTAAATTTATAATCGTAAAATTTTCAGAAGACAATTTTGAAATGAAATATTAGGTGTTGCTGGAATGCAATACTTGTACTACTTGAAAAGTTGTTACGTACCCTAGAAAAAGTGTGTGCGAGTATTCGAGATTTAACTGTTTAATAATCAATATATTCACTAGTTGATGCCAGCAAGATATGCTATAAAACTCATTTTTTGACTTGTTTCAAATCCTGTTAATGAATGGTTTCTATAAGTTCCCTGCTCAGTCGTCACTGAAACGATTTATTTTTCTAGTACAACTTGTCAAGCTACAATGTTTGGTTGACTACATTAAGAAATTAAACCATCACAATATTTATAACCCTAATTTATTGGGCAACCAATGTTTGTTTCTTGTCCGATGGTTTAATGACATATCACAACTAACATCAATTTTTTCATTTTTCATTTATTGGGTAGTTGGGAAGCGTCATTAATTCACGACAGATGACCCATTATCCATTACTTCACAACAAACAATGTTGAAAAGCTTGGATTTGTCTTATCGAATTAATTTTTGATATTTTCTATACATATATTTTAGAATTTGGGTGGGGTGGGAAAATTGGTTTTTGAAGAGAGAAATTTTTTACGAGCTTCTAAACTTTCTTCTAATTAATGTGATCAGAACTTGAATATGCTGCCACTAGAATCGAAGTAGCATAAAACTTGAAGAAGATACCAATAGAGTCAAAGTATAAAGCATGTCTATAGATTCCTTCAATTGATATCAAACGAAGCTTTAATTGTCGCCAATGAAATTGAAATTATACATGCCTTCTCTTTGTTTTGCATTGTTTCCGTGGTCATAATATATATTTTTATGTTTAGAGTTTAAGAAATGTAATTTAGAGCATGTTTGGAAGTTGTATATAATTGATTTAACTTATAAATATATAGATAGAAATGTCTCATGAATATGTAGGTAGTGTAAGAGAGATTGTTACCACAAAATAGCTAGATCTTTCATGTTGGATCATCAATAAATTCAAGAATATATTGAAAGCGTACTTGAAACAAACATAGTTAATACAATAGTTGAATCTCCCTATCATAGAAATAGGAACCATAACATAATGAGCCAATCATGTGATTTGGGAACCATAACCGTATTTACATATTGACACCATTTGACCTAATTCTGCCTATCATAGAAATAAAAACCTGAGCCCGGTCTCTATGCATAAAAGAACCACACTTTAATTGGATGTGTTAAAGCCAAAATGTCAAAATCTTATTAGATCACTTTTAAACAGGTTTAACCAAATTTGAGAGCCTTTAATTTAATTCAAATTAATTCACACATATAAGCCCACATGATTGTTTAAAATTCCTTACAATCTCCCACCGAGACTATTTGTGTCACCTTATAATTGTGCATTAAACATAACTTTATGAGTACTTAGAATTTTACTATTATTACCGAATGCGTCCCCAAACAATCCGGTCCATAAACTATACCAACATATGATCAAAGCGGCTGTCACTACTTTCATCGTAACTAAACCAATCAATGGTCACATATATCGATATAACTAAATAAGATAGATCATGCATGGATGTATAGCATGGAAATTACATGTTATGTGATCTTAACATGCATATTTCCAATTGGTCCACCTTAATACCTTAGTGAGATAATTTTTAAACAAGTTCTGAGATAATAAACCAAAACTTTATAACTGAAAATAACTTTAACCATAAATCATATCTAAAATAACAGTACATATATCCAATATGAAAAGTAAAAAATGTAAACTCCCACTGAAACTAAACATCCTCAAGAAATATTACACCCATATGAGCAGTGTGCTTATGAAAGACCTTGGGTATCAATCCCTAAGTAAGTGGATCCACAACTATAGAGTTTGTCCCAATATGCTCTATTGACACATGTCCATTCTAAACTCTTTCTTTAACAGTAGGAACTTGATCTCTATATGTTTTGACTTCGTCGAGCTCCTGTTATTATTGGAATACAGCATCGCTGATTTACTGTCATAAAATAATTTAAGCATCTTTCTATACTATCTACAATGCGCAACCCAGTGACAAAATTGCGAAGCCATATTCCATGGTTTGATACCTCATAACACGCTATAAACTCTGCTTCCATGGAGGAAGTAGCTATGAGTGTCTGCTTAGAACTCTTCCGGGAAATAGCACCTTCAGCAGGCAAGTAAATATAGCCTAAAGTAGATCTCCTACTACTTGGCATCTCGCGAAATCGAAATTAGAATAATCAATGATCTCCAACTGATCCAATCTCTTATATGTGAGCATGTAGTCTTTTGTTCTCTATAATTACCGCATGACTCGTTTGGCTACTTTCCAATTATCCATCCCTAGGTTACTTAAATATCTCCCTAGCATCCTAGTACGCTATATTCCGAACGCATACAAATCTGAGCATACATCAAACTTCCTATAGCTAAGGAATAAGGAATCTTCTGCATTTCTTTAATTTCTAAGTCATTTTTAGGGCACTGACTTAAGCTAAACTTGCCTCCTTTAGCCACACGGGTGTCACCTGGTTTACAATCTTGCATACCATATCTTTTAAGTACCATTTCGATATAGCTCTTTTGTGATAATCCTATAATACCCCAAAACGATCTCGGTGTATCTGAATTCCTAATACAAAAGAGACGTCATCAAGATCTTTCATCTCAAAATTCTTTGCTAGAAATCTCTTAGTTTCGTACAATAAGCTTATATCGTTGTTGGCAAGCAATATGTCATCAACATATAAAATAAGAAAAATATATTTGCTCTCACTAAACTTGTGGTATATACAATCATCAACCAAATTCATCTCAAAACCAAATGAGATGATCACTTGAT